CGCCCAAAACCGCTTGTTTCACCCTCCCACGGACGCCACCTGGGCGGCACGGGTCCCTTCGCGTGTTTGAAGGACTGTGTGTGAAGGACTAGCTGGGTCATTTTGGGGTGCAGGTGGGCACCCCGCACTGTAAAGTACTCTAGAACGAAGGCCCACGCGCCTCCAAGGTCACACAGTCAAGCGCACATCACGTATTTTGCCTAGATTCGGAATAAGCGGCGGAGCGCTTGGGAGCAGGGGGCGGTAACACTACTTAGCAGGAGTGAGGCGAAGCTCTCGCTTCGTGCAGTGGTTACGGACTTCTTCGAGATTATTGGCTGAGCGATAGCGAAGCCTGTTACTCCAGTGCGGTTGAAAAGTTTTTTCTGTCTGTCTGTCTGTCTGTGTGTCCGTGTGTGCGTGTGTGTACACTACTCCTCCCGAACGGCTCGGCCGATCTGGCTGAGATTTTGCAGGCTGGTATGTTCTTGGCTTGGCACACGCGAAATTTCACTATCCTAGCTCACGTGGTTCAGTTTTTATAGCCGAAAAACACCTAAAAACCGGCGAAAAATCGAGTTTTATGCAGGCAGGTCAATTCTGTCTTGCAGGAGGGGGGGTAGCCCCTCAGCCTCGAGAAGTTAAAAAGTTACAAGGGTCCAGATCGTGTTATCTGTAGATGAAACAACTCTATCTGGAATGAAGGGGGGTCCCCCCAGCATGCAACAAGTAAGAAGTAACCGACGATGGACAAGCCAATGCCTGCCGAAGGCAGGCTAGCGCCGCAGGCCAAGGTAGGTACGCCAGGGCGGATTGAAGGAACAGGCCGCGAGACATCGCGAAGCCTGTTACGACAAGACGCGGTCTGGCGTAAACCTACCTTGTTAAAACTAGGCCATTGTTTTCAAAACGCTTTGCAAAGATCGAAGCTTCGCCTCACTGCCGCTTTAGGGTGTTACCGCCCCCTGGTCCAACAGAGAGCAGCACTGGGTTGCCTGCTCGTTCACCAGTGGGCGCGCGCGAGGCGTCCCGGCAGGCCACCAACAACACTGCAGAGGTCGACGGGATAGCCAACCTCCCAGGCGCTCCGCTGCTTAGGGGTAGGTTGGGGAAGAAAAGTACTGTTGTGATGTTCAAGTAAACGCATTCCATGCGTTCACTTCACACACGGCTCCAGCAGACAACTCTCTGCTGATCTGCGCATAACGCTTCCCTCACTGCGCGCAGATGCGCATGCGACGAGCGCACGCCCGCGCTGCCCCTGGTGGCCGGCGCGGTAACTACGACGGCCGGGCGGGCCGCCCGGCCTCGGCGACTCCACGCCGTGGAGTCCACGGATCCGCGAGGCAGTTGCGCCGAGACCGAGCTAACGACTAGACCCACGTGCAACTTCTCCACGTCTCGCGCTCCGCTAAATCTACTGTCTACAACTCGAAATGCAACCACGTCTCTTTATCCGGACTATCTTTCCAATTCCTCCCCTTAGAGCCTCCAAGCCCGCTCTTTTAACAATATATTTTAGTAAAGAGATAAAATTTGATAAAATTTTCACAATGAACTCAGCATTTTCTCAACCACCACCTGGTGGCAGAAAGCCAGTCAAAGAAACATTTCTTTGCTTATTTTCCAGGTCGCCTTCCCGTTGCTGTGATACATTCCCAAGGCATCTCCGTGTACTCATCTTGCACCAGGAGTCTATCAGATGAACCGCCCAGCTGAAGCCCAGATGCTGGACTGCTCACTGCAATCTTTACCCTGCACCTGTAAGTATATATTTATCAAATAAATTTGTCTGCTACAAGAGTTTTTTAGTTAACCAAGTTAGTTAGTGGTTGTGCTCATCATAAGTAACTATATTGAACAAATATTTTTTCTATGTTATTTTAAGTTATCAAATAAGTCAGCTGTAAAGAAAAGCACCTGTTAAGAGTTTCTTTTCATTCCTTTTTTCAGGTTTTGTATTTCTCCAAAGAATGAAGAGAGTGCTCAATATTGCATCAGGAGAATAATTCTACTCTAATTTGTCATGAAACTTACGGGTAGAAAAATATACTAATGAAAATCTGAGTTCAAAATTCTTGAGAATATTGCGTATTATCTTCATCCATTCCATCCATCGAATCAAAACGATTTGGTGTGTCATCTTCATCCTTCCCATCCATCAAATCAAAACAATTTGAAGTTTTCATCATCGGTCCTGGAACGGAGATTAAAACCAAGAGTCTTGAAATTATGTTACGCACATGGATCAGGATAATTATGGCCCTCCAGCTAAAATTTTTTATTTGATAATGAATCAAACAAGAAGTAAAGAAAAAAAGTTTAAAGGATGGTGCGAAATATCAATGAATTGATATTAAATAAATGACTCGTTCTTTACACATTTTTTTGTGAATGAAGGATGTCTAGTGGTTATCAAAAGTGGCCAGGTGGTTAAATAATTGTTAGGCTCGAAATGAAAGTACGTTCAAACTCTACCGCCATTACAGTAGTTCGTTTGAAATCCGCGTGGTGGCGCCACGGGTCGCCGATGTTAGCGGCAGGCCGTCCAAAGGAAGGTTGAAAAACTGCAGATATTTTAAATGTTTGTTTGCTAAGAGAGATAATCCTCAAATGAAAAATGTTAAACAAAGCACAGGGAGGTGGATTTTTGCTATGGCACATGTCAATTCGATATGAATCACGAAAAAACGAAGTGTTATAACCTCTCATTACTAGACACCAGCCAGTTTTAATAAACATTTTCAATCTTCATTTGCTAAAAACCTTTCATAGTGAAATGAAAAATACTTCATTTACGCCTTAAAGAGGAGGCTTTGATCTTTCAAATGAGTACATTACATATGGTTTTCCTTGTGTGCATAGCGAGTTGAATCATGTAGCTAACAAAAACCGATTTTGAGCACAATACTCGTTCTCTTCACATTAACCTAAATTTTGAAATGAGGGTGTAAAGAACGAGTAAAAATATTGAAAGCTTTGATACCAGTATTTTTCTCTGGTAAAGTATGTATTACCTTCAACATGTGCACCTTGAGCTCCAAATAGGCTTATTTGAGATACTTCTTCGTCAATAGGGGTGAAATCATGACCAAATATTTTTAGTGTGCTGATATCTTCCACATTGTCCCATCGACACAACCTCTTAAAATATTCTTTTGCTGCAGAAGCAGCCTCTCCTAGATCCTCTGTAAAAAATAGTTAATTATCATACAATAAAGAAATGCATACTTGCACAAACTATAAATGGACAGATTGTACCGTGAATTCCCAAGATCACGACAGTGGTGTCCTTGCCATGTCGTGGAAGTTCAATCAACTCCCCCGACTCATACATTCTGCCATAAGTAGGCACATTATGATAAGTGCAAACTTGCCCATCTTCGAGGAATATCCCAATGATGACAGACAGCGACACTACAAGAACAAAGAAAAAAAAAGATATGTGTTTGATGAGAACAACACATTTAAAAAGTGCAATTTAAGCCATCACATCCAACACAGTTTTTCTAGGCAACATTGAATAATCATAAATGTGATGATTTTTGTACTGTTTCTTTCAAAATTTGTGACATCATGCCTATACAGGCCCTTGCCCATGATATTCTTAATAGCACTGTAAAAAATCGTGGGTAAATTTCTCACTCACTTTTGGTGTTTATTTACCCCTATGTCGCAGAAAAAAATTTCCACCTATCATGGTCTGATAGTTTCCCTATTACTAACTCAGGAGAGCTTTTATGCCAGCCAACTACAAGAGGAAATTTACGCTTGTTGCGTCGTTTCTTGCATTACTACAATCCATGTGCGCGAATTTACTCACAATAGTGGTGCATGAACGAACTTTACCCATCCACGGGGTAAAATCACCCTCTCATGATCATCACAAATTTCTCATACCATGGACACGGTGTATGATTTTACCTATCCACGTGCGTAAATTTGTTCCCATCCTGGCTTCGAAATCATGTTTACAGATCCACGGGGGGTAAATTCACCCTCTCATGATTATCACAAATTCCTCACACTATGGGCACTGTGTATGATTTTACCTATCCACGTGCGTAAAATTGCCTCCATTCTGGCTTGGAAATCATGTTTAGAGATCCAAGGGGGTCCGATTGCAGTGCAGATTCGCCATGGCTCGGGCAATAGGTGTCTTTGCTCGCGATCCACTCTGAGCCCGGCCGGAAGATGTTCCATATATTCCATAGACTCCGACTCCGCCGGAAGCACTGTTACCCGCGAGTCGCTATGCGATGGGTCAGCCTGCCAGGTAGGCCACCGTACGTAGGTTAGCCTGGTGGTCTACCTGTCGGGCGCTTCATCACTTGGTCCTACTGGCGCGCTCAGGGGGGAAGGACAATTGCCCCCCCCTTGACCCTAGATAGCCGCCTGAAAGGTAGGCAAAAAGCACCACATTGCCCCTGTAAGTAGGCAAAAAGTGCTACTTTGACCTCCCCTTGGGCCGACTCTGGATCCGCCACTGCCTGTCGGGACGATTTGCGAGGCACAGGCGAGATGAGAGGTGGGGCGGGCAGACGGCAGCAGCCGAACGGGCTAGTGGGCTCAAGAAGCCCACTACGGAACGTGGGCTTTGTCGTTCGGAGTGGGCTTTTCGTGGGTCGGGCTCTAAGCGGGTGGGCTCCGCACGTGGGTCGGGCTAGTGGGTTTGGCGGAAAAGCGCGAAGCCCACTAAAGCCCACCCCGATCCCGGCTCTGGTCCGCCCGCCCCAGTCGGATGCTGCAGCACACTGATTCCGAGTGTCATTTTCATCGATCTTTCTCTCTCGCACCTGTACGGGAAGCCCCATGAGTGCACATGAGTGTGGGAGAGAGACAGCGACGAACCGCCACTGCAGACTAATCAGCTGATCCCGAGAGTCGTTTTCGTCGCTCTGTCTCTCTCGCACCTTCACGGGAAGCCCCATGAGTGCGAGAGAGACAAAGCCACGAAAACGACTCTCGGAATCAATCTGCAGTGGCGGCTCGTCGCTGTCCATCTCTCTCTCACACACACCCCACACCTTACCAAAAGAGACAGAATTTTTCATAGTTCACGACGATGAGAAATTCCAAGTGTCTTTTAAACCCAATATGAATAGCCCCAATCAGCTGGTGTATTGCAGACATACTTTTCGAGACCCAAACTTCCAACGCTCGAAAATGAACAACAAAAAGATGAGTGACTTGAAATTTTATCATGTTCATTGGAACGAATTTATTGCCCTGTCTTATGATAATCTACAAATTTCAGGCATTTGCAAGACATGGGCACCTTTGGAAAAAAAAATCAGTGAGCTGTTGTGGTTTGGTTATGCCATTAGGCACATCATTAATTTGCTACCAATGTGAGTACATGGGTCTTTTTGTACATAGAGATGGTTAGTTGCACTCATGGAATAAGGAATAATGCAAACTAAAATGGTAGAAAGCAAATTTTTTTATTCAAAACTTGGGAAGATTTTCCTAAAATAATTTGCGTGTAGTCTTCTTCTGCTTTTGTTTCCTTGCTTCTTCCTCGTCCCTTTCTTCCTCCTCTTTGCGGCGTTTGCAGGCCTCCTTTTCTCTCTCAAATTCCGGAGTCGCCACCCATCCTGGATACCAATAATCTATATGGAAAGGAACTCACATTAGTGTCACCCCTGGGGAGGATTAAACTTAATAAAACTGCGTCCCCATTCTAAATCTTAGTCTATTCTTGAAAAATTAACGCATGCCAAATTTTTGTTACAGAGCGATAACAGCTGCTGGATTGATCTTACTAGCAGCTTTCCAACATCATTCTATTTCGTGCCCCTGCAGTTGAGAGCCTGTGATGGAGTCTGGTCATGCTATGCGTGGTTCCAATGTAAGTAAATTTGTAATTTACGCACGTTTGGGAGTTACTGGAGGTTTCTGGCCTCGATGCCGGGTGCATTTTTGAATGCCGCCTGGGGATATTCCTGCAGCTTTGTAGAACTGAAAGTCAAAGAGAGGCAGATAAATATGAAATTCGGCTGTGAATGTAGCAGTGAATGGATAATATTAAGCAGCTATCTGTTTAACTCACCCCATCACATTGCTCACAAGTGTATCCGGGCAGCTCTTTTCGAGCTCTCCCTCTCACTTTTGTAGGGACTTCTTTTAACGGCACCCTGAAAAAACAAAAAAGATTGGATTCAGAGCCTTTTAAAAGAAAGTCCAAAAATTTTCAATTACAACAGACAAAATCTAGCTTATTACCTGTCATAGCTAGATGATAACATTTTAGATGTAGAGGGCAGCTCTTTGTTGACAGGCTCTTTCTTAACAGGCTCTTTGTTGACAGGCTGAACTGCTTCAAGGTCCTCTTCTTCAAAGAAAGTGGTTGAACCACTGCTACTGGCACTGCAATGAATACACAAGGTAAACATTCATAATACTATTTTCTAAACCTCACATTGAGGTGCCTGAGATAGTATGCCTCTTTGCAGTGCAATAGCTCAGTACTCACTTTTGGAGGGCATCTTCAACAGCTGGACACTCAAACCTCTGACCAGCTTCAAAATTGAAAGATTCCTGATCTGCCTCTTCATTATTAAGGTTTTCCTTTGCAGCCTGTGGGCTAGAGCAGAGCAGAGCTAAAAGGGGGGAGTGAAGGGAAATGAATTAGATGAGAGGGCATTTAATAGTTGATGTCAATGAAATAAAATATATTTTTTCGATAATTACGGATAAACTCAGTCCCTTCTTCCAACACACCATTACCTAATGGTGGGGATGGGGAACCCAACAAAGCCAAAATGCTGTAAATTAAAGAGGGAAATTTTGAATTAGAATTCAATTTACTGAGATTTTGGGCTGTCAGAATGTAGAACTTACCCTTCATTCGTATAAAGTAAAGCATTCCTCTCAGCCAGAAGCGTTCGATATGTTCCATCACAGAGCAATTCTTGCTCTCCAGGACTTGGGGCCATGAGAGCAGGCTTATCTGGCTTGTCCAATAGATTTCTAATGCTGTAAATCATACACAAATGCAGAAATCAAATTGAAATCTAAGTCAAACTATGATTGTTTTGTCATTCAAATCAAGCCAACGCAAGGCAGGTACAGTTTGAGTGTCAAAATGGACTCAAAATCACTTCATTGACTCTCAATTTTACTGTCAATTAAAATAGTTTGTCAAGCTGTTCATTATTCATTTCTTTCAAAAACAAAATGATAAAAGTCTCATCTTATGGTGTAGGTTGGAACTTGGACTGGCTTTGGATTGCTTGTCGGTGCGATTTCTTGGCTTACCTGTCTTGAACATTTTTAATGAAGCTAATTTCTGCCAGTAATTTTCTGCACGCCTCTTTAGCCATTGTGGCAATCCACTTTATGGTTGTGATGCTATCAACTTCTAACTTCCTAGTCTAGTCATCAAGATCATGAGGAGAGAGAGGGAAAATAATTCTAGTGGATAAATCCTAGGTCTGGGAGAGCTCGGAGCGGGGTTTTCTCTTGCCAACCTTACAACTTTTTCATTTTTTAAATTTTTGTTTAGATCTTGTTTAAATGGTGTCATTTGGTTTTTAACACATTCAATTTATTTCTTTGATCAAAGTTTCAGACGGCGATCTGGATGGGTGAGCCAGAGGAGACGCTGCAACGAGAGTCAACCAAGTGAGAAGGTTGGCAACAAATTTCAACTGACCGCTATTGGCGCTGGACGGTTGGGCGGTTAAGTGGTGGGGGTATTTGTGGCAGTTCCCTCTCTGGTTTGAAAAAAACGGTAACGGTCGGCGGTTTGGACCAAACTATCTATAATTAAGATAAACGTAGCAGTTTCTTTTGCTGGAACTTTCGTCTTTTCACTCGGAAGAGTATTCATGTTGCTGTAGTATGATAAAATAGTGAACTGAAGGAAATTTAGTGTTGGTACAGCCTTGTCCATACTCAAGTGAACCTGCTTTCTGAAGTCTTCTGGGTTGAAAATGATACTCGTTGTGATATTCAAGCAAGAAATCTTTGTTCTCACCTTCACCATTAACTAACAATCTTTCTTTTCTAGTAGTATCTTGCTCAATTCCCAGCATTTCTTTGGTTAGAAAGCCTGGAAAAGTCTGATATACACAGCGTTGTAGGCAACTGGATTTTAACCTTTGCTGCAGCTCAGTTTCAAAGTAAACTCAGATAAAGCCATAGACAGGTTAAGTTCCGATCAATTCTTTGTAAGAGAAAGCCCATGTTGGAAGGACCATGATTCTGCATAACACCTGAAAGACAGGCTGACTTGCAGACGAGTCATGATTCTGTTTTTTTATTTAACAGAATTGGTGAACACAACAGACTTAAAATTGGGTTTAACCTGGATTGTGAACTCTCATTTGTGGTTTTTATTGTTCTCTTTGTGACTTTGTTCTTTCTTTTTTATAGGTTGCATCTTGGGACGGCTACAAGCCTTGGGACGGCTACAAGCCTTGGGACGGCTGCATCATTGGGCCTCAAGCAGCAGTTTGGGTCTCGTGTCCTCTCTTTCTTCAGACCACAGTTCCTGTGTCCACACTCTCTTCAAGCATAAGTACATACCTAAAAGTTTTAAAGGTCTTTAAAAATATTTTGAATATATTTAGGTTTGCTTTGTTTCTCCTAGTTTTGTTCTACTCAATTGAGGAAAAGGTTGAACCAGCTCGTAGTATTCATTGATGAGGCTCAGCTTAAGAAAATAGAGAGCAAATTTCTTTCTTTTTCTTTTATAAACCCAAGTATGACTTACAACTAAATAAATCTATTGTGTCCCACAAAGTTATAGAAAATGGGGAGTAGCGAGTCTTACAAGTGAACTAAGGTTTATTCCTATCCGTCTCTTTTGGTCTATAACTGCATGTGAGGCACAATCCAGCTTTAGCCTTGAAATTGGGTTGAACCTAGATTGTGAACTCTCATTTGTTGTTTTTATTGTTCTCTTTGTGACTTTGTTCTTTCTTTTTTATAGGTTGCATCTTGGGAAGGCTGCATCATTCGACCTCAAGCAGCAGTTTGGGTCTCGTGTCCTCTCATTCTTCAGACCACAGTTCCTGTGTCCACACTCTCTTCAAGCTGCAGTGAACTAAGGTATATACCTATCCGTCTCTTTAGTCCCATAACTGCATGTGATGCACAATCCAGCTAGTCAAAGGGTGCTTTGCTTCTAACCATCTTAGCGAATAGCTTGCCTCATGTATCGGACAGTATCAAAGATGACTCGAACAATAAGTTGTGGAGCGATAAATATCTTGGCTCAATACTTGAAGGTGATCCTACAATGAAGTCATCAAACTCATCGCTCATCGACTGGTGTTTTCACTGGTAAGGACTTGTAGGCCATGTGGTTCCTCTCTGTAATAAAATTGTGATATAGTCTTGTAGAGAACAGTATTTCTTATGCTCTAGGACTTTTTTCAGTCTTCTCGTCACCACAGATATTATTATATAACTAAAATAAAATTGTTTGATGTAACTTATTTAAATTAACAATTTTATTTTGGTTATAATATATATAATATGGTGATGAACAGACTTAAATTAGTCTTAAAGCATAAGGAATAATGTTGTCTACAAGAACATATCACAATTTGATTGCAAAGAGGAACCATGTGGCCTACAAGTCCTTACCAATGAAAACACTAGTTGATAAGCAATGAGATAGATGAGCATTATAGGAGCACTTTGAGATAACCAACTACCGCTTTGGGTTTGATCCGCACGAACTGCTTTGTTGATCGTGTTATGTGAAATAGGAGCTAACATTAATAGTTAATAACAATATATTTCTCAAACAACAAAAATAGACTTAATCATCAAATGGCTGCCAGTTTTTTATCATTTACTCTAATTACTTCCTTTGAATATTTTTTTTAAAAAAATTACTGTACAGTGGCTTAAGTGTACAATCACCAAAGCAGTTCATGTTCATTGTCTAAACCAAACCCAATGTGTAAAGTGATAATCTAAAGAGTGGTTCCAAGAATGTTCTCAGTTCCTAACAATATGACCTTGGAAACTTTGGTGCTGCCTCATGTATTGAAAAAGTTTAAGGCACTACCACCAGTTAGACTCACTACTCCCCATTTGTGGGAGACAATTGATTTATGTAGTGGTAAGTCATCCTTGGGTTAAAAAACAAAAGAAAGAAATTTGCTCCCTATTTTCTTAAGCTGAGCGTGATCAATGAATACTGAAAGCTGGTTCAACCTTTTCCTCAATTGGGTACAACAAAACTAGGAGAAACAAAGCAGTTTTGTTCTACTGAATTGAGGAAAAGGTTGAACCAGCTTTTAGTATTCATTGATCACGCTCAGCTTAAGAAAATAGGGAGCAAATTTCTTTCTTTTGTTTTTAAACCCAAGGATGACTTACCACTAAATAAATCAATTGTCTCCCACAAATTCTCCCACAAATGGGGAGTAGTGAGTCTAACTGGTGGTAGTGCCTAAAACTTTTTTAATATAGGAGGCAGCACCAAAGTTCCCAAGGTCATTTAGGAACTGAGAACATTCTTGGAACCACTTTTTAGATTATCACTTTACACATTGGGTTTGGTTTAGACAATGAACATGAACTGCTTTGGTGATTGAACACTTAAGCCACTGTACAGTAATTTTTTAAAAAAATTATTCAAAGGAAGTAATTAGAGTAAATGGTAAAAAGCTGGCAGCCATTTGATGATTAAGTCTATTTTTGTTGTTTGAGAAAAAATACTGTTACTAAATATTAATGTTAGCTCCTAATTCACATAACACGATCAACAAAGCAGTTTGTGCTGATCAAATCCAAAGCGCTTGTTGCTTATCTCAAGTATTGAGCCAAGATATTTCTCACTCCACAACTTATTGTTCGAGTCATCTTTTTATACTGTCCAAGCAAGCTATTTGCTGAGATGGTTACGAGCAAAGCACCCTTTGGCCAAAGCTGATATGTGCCTCCTATGCTGCTAGTTATAGGCCAGAAGAGACGGATAGGACTATACCTTAGTTTACTTGTAAGACTCACTACTCCCCATTTTCTGTAACTTTGTGGGACACAATTGATTTGTTTAGCTGTGTCATACTTGGGTTACAAAAAAAGAAATACATTTACCCTTCATTTTCTTTAGCTGAGCCTCATCAATGAATACTGAGAGCTGGTCCAACCTTTCCTCAATTGAATACAACAAAACTAGGAGAAACATGCAAGCATAAGTACATACCTAAAAGTTTTAAAGGTCTTTAAAAATATTTTGAATATATTTAGGTTTGCTTTGTTTCTCCTAGTTTTGTTCTACTCAATTGAGGAAAAGGTTGAACCAGCTTGTAGTATTCATTGATGAGGCTCAGCTTAAGAAAATAGAGAGCAAATTTCTTTCTTTTTCTTTTATAAACCCAAGTATGACTTACAACTAAATAAATCTATTGTGTCCCACAAAGTTATAGAAAATGGGGAGTAGCGAGTCTTACAAGTGAACTAAGGTTTATTCCTATCCGCCTCTTTTGGTCTACAACTGCATGTGAGGCACAATCCAGCTTTAGCCTTGAAATTGGGTTGAACCTAGATTGTGAACTCTCATTTGTTGTTTTTATTGTTCTCTTTGTGACTTTGTTCTTTCTTTTTTATAGATTGCATCTTGGGAAGGCTGCATCATTCGACCTCAAGCAGCAGTTTGGGTCTCGTGTCCTCTCATTCTTCAGACCACAGTTCCTGTGTCCACACTCTCTTCAAGCTGCAGTGAACTAAGGTATATACCTATCCGTCTCTTTAGTCCCATAACTGCATGTGATGCACAATCCAGCTAGTCAAAGGGTGCTTTGCTTCTAACCATCTTAGCGAATAGCTTGCCTCATGTATCGGACAGTTTCAAAGATGACTTGAACAATAAGTTGTGGAGCGAGAAATACCTTGGCGCAATACTTGAGATAAACAACCGCTTTGGGTTTGATCATCACGAACTGCTTTGTTGATCGTGTTATGTGAAATAGGAGCTAACATTATAATTTAAGAACAATATTTTATCTCAAACAACAAAAATAGATTTCATCATCAAATGACTGCCAGTTTACTTATCTTTTACTCTTATTACTAACTTGGCATAAAAATCTTGAAAAATTAAGGTACACGGACTAATCTAGGTTTTGTTTTTAATTTTAAATTTTATTATACCTGTTAAAATTATAGAGCATCAAATGGAAGACTTTAAGTCTAGTACGTACCACAGCTTTCTCTTGATGACTAACTCTTTGTTTGTTTTTAAGATAGAGTATTTTATGTTCATAGTTTATTGTCAATTCACAATAACAATCAGTCTATGCCCTTTGCTCTAAACCTGACATAGATGGTTGTGACCTTAAGTTTTGATCCAAGAATGTTCTCATTTTCTAACTTATGAATAGAAGGATTTTTGATGCTGTCTGACACATGAGGAAAGCTTTGGCTGAGCTGGTTGGAAGCAAGGCAGCTCTGAGCAGAAGCATAGTTGCTAATTCGCCTCTCAGAGTTATCAAGCCAGTAATAGTACCTACTCCATAAAAATTAGATTAAAGCGTTTGTTTTGTTTAAATTGACTAAATTTTATGGCCTTCCTTGGTTTTAGTTTGTTGTTTTTCATTTTGTTTTTCAGTTGTTTTTTTTTTTAAATTATGATAAAGCTGCTTTGACAATGAAATGCAAGACTTGTGGTGCTGTGGTTCTCACAGTTTCAGCACATGTTCACCATTTTAATTTAAACCACAGAGTGAGCTTGCACTCCCTTTTCACTTGTGGTGTCAATGATTGCATAGTGAAGCTGAAAAATGAGGAATTATATGAGCGGCACTTGAAGGTCTTCCACTCAACAAAGACGGGGCAGAGTGGTGACAGCAACGAATTGCTTTACAAATGTCCCGTTCCAGATTGCAATTATAAAGCTAGAAGCAAGGCCACACTTCGTAGCCACAAATTTTGGCATAATGATGAGGCAAGCTTAGAAGTCGAGAATCCTGTTGCCCCTGAGCCCCTTGAGCAGCACAGTCCAGAGGTCAATGACACTGGAGATCTACTGGAGCATCCTTCAAATGCACCTCAGTCAGAAATAGAATCCTCCCCACCTGATTTTGATTTTTTTGCTTCAGAGGAGGCTTTACGCAAAAAGTTAACTCATCTCAGTCTTTCTTTGACATTCAAGTATCATGTGCCTGATTCCACATTGGCTTTTGTTTTACAAAATTATTCCACACTTCTTGCGGAATCTTCTGCCATCACATCAAGAAAAATTCTAAATGAAATCAATCCTGAAACTGTTGATTGTAATAGACTTTCACAAATTATATCTGAAGACCCCTTGTTAAATCTCCATGGGCCAGAAGGACCATTACGGTCCTCTCACTGCCGCAAGAAAGAATATGGGAAGGAATTCCCCTATGTGAAACCAGTTCCAGTCTCATTGGGCCTTGATGATAAAAATATTGAGTGCAAGTATCACTATGTTCCGCTCAAAGAGAGCATACAACTTCTGTTTGAGGATGATTCGGTTTATGAGCAGTACTTATTGAACCGAAGTAGAAGATCAGTTCTCGTTTCCCCAGACCTCACTGATATTCATAGTGGCTCTGTTTATTATGAACACAAACTTTTCTCGAAAGAACCCAACTCCATTGAAATAATAATGTTTCAAGATGACATTGAATTAGTGAAAGCTCTGGGTGCTGCAGCAGGTTCTCACAAAATGATGCACATGGCTTTTACATTAGGCAACTTGCATCCCTGGAATAGATCAAAAGTAGATCCGCTTCAACTACTTCTCTTGTGCAAAGAAAAAGATGTGGCGTATTTTGGCTTGCCTAAAGTTCTTGAACCTGTCATCGAAGATTTGAAAGACTTGGAAACAAATGGGGTGAAGATCAGGGGTGAAACAGTGAAGGGATCAGTTCTAGTTTTACTTGGTGATAATCTTGGTACCCACACGATTGGTGGGTTCTTAGAGAGTTTTTCCACATCAAAATTTTTCTGCAGATATTGTGAAGAATCTCGAGCTGAGTGGAATGCAAGGTGGAACCGCAATGAGTCAGAGCATGTAGAAAGTAGTGAATCTGAAAGTGAGTCAGAGAGTGACACTGATAGTGATGAGTGTGACAAAGGAGAAGATGAGTTAGATGTCAGTGATTCTGTCTCTGCACTTGATAGTGACAGTGATTACGGTCCTGAAGACAACATGCCCTTGTCAGAGCTAAAGAAACATATGCATAAACCACCAATGAGAACTGAGGAATCATATAAAGCTTGTCTTTCTGATTTGGATACTGGATCTCAAACCAATGTGAAAGGGGTTACTGCCAATTGTGAGCTGAATAAGTTACAATATTTTCATGTGATTGGTGGAACTCCACCCTGTTTGCCTCACGATGTGTTTGAGGGATTTGGGCGCTATGATATCTATTATTGCCTTGAAAAGCTTTGCGCAGAATTCAAATTTTCTCTTGAAAGTGTCAATAGAAGGTTGTCTCAATTTAAGTTCCAAGGTAAGGATAAGTTGGACAGACCACCAAGGAAAATTGCTAAAGGTATGACGAGACTGAAAGGAAATGCAATTCAAATTTGGGTTTTGATACGATTCTTACCTCTCCTAATTGCTGATTGGGTTACTAACAAGAAGAACCCTGCTTGGTTGATGATGCTACTACTCATTGAGATTCTTCAGCTGGTAACATCACCTGCTGTATCAAGAAGTTCAGTTCCTCTCATCAAAGAAAAGATTATTAAGTACCTTACTTTGAGATGTCAGTTGTTCAGTAAGCCCCTTCGCCCAAAGCACCACTTTTTTGAACATTATCATGACCTTCTCTTAATCTATGGATGTTTAATGAGGTGCTCAACACTAAGATTTGAGGGTAAACATAAATTTTATCGAAGTGAATTCTGTAATAAGAAGTGCTTAAAGAACCCAACCAAAAGTCTTGCTACTGGTCATCAGCGACTTCAAAGCGCTCTGCATGTTGAGGATCTCTTTGACAGACACCCAATTATGAAAGAAGCTTCACCTCTGAATGGACTTATTGACACTGATAAAGAAGTGATTGATTATGTGGATTCATCTTTTGGCTCAGAAGTCGCTTCAAAGCTTCTCTGCTCTACAGAGATCCGTTACCACAACACTGTCTATAAGAGAGGAGATGTTGTTGTGACAAGAGGTCGAAAACCTCCTCTTCTGGACATTGAATGCCTGAAAATAAATATCTTGGTGTCTGATGGTTCACTTGCTTATGCCATTGGTGTGTGACATTTCCGAATCCCTCATGATTTTAGGGTTGTTGTAAAGTGAAAAGTATAAATTATTTTTTTATTTGTGTCAGTAGTCTTTGAAAGTTCCTTTCCTTCAACTTCTGGTAAATTCAAATGTTATAAGAATACGAATGCTTTTATTATTTTCCTATTTTATTTGTTTGGATTGCCACAAGCCAAAGGCTGGTAAGTCATGAGAGGATTCAGGGAGCAAACAATTTTCAATATTCTAACTCAGAAACTATGTGAGATGTGGAAAAATCAATTTTTTGCTTTACTCAAAGTTAAATTTTTACCTGTAAACTTCCTGACACAAATATTAATATAACAATTAAATTTCACTTTGCACTGTCCTTAACTTATTGTGGTCATCACTCTTATGCTCTTTTGAATAATTTCCACGTCTTTTACCAGGTTATTTCTGCAAGGCAACCCTTTCTCAGTCCTTGTCTGTCTATTATCTGGAAGAAACAAAGAAAGTGTCCCTAATCAATCTTGATAACTTGAAGGATTATGTAGCGTATCCAATCTACACTTTCAGAAAGAAACCAATCCTAGTGCTTCAGCACTTACATTTAGAGATGTGAATTCATATTTATTTGTTGCAGTGCCTTGTTAGTAAATCAACTTCTCAACTTTATAAATTGCCTGTCATAAGTTTGTCCTTTTAACATATCTTAATTTGTTTCAGGCTTTCGGATGGCAGGCGGTCTAGACGACAGTTTAGATGAGAACTTACTCTCTAGTGATGACCCAGGAAGGAACTTGGAGGACGACTCTGGCCCAGGAAAGAACCTGGAGAATATGGATGAAGGAAAGAGGGCTGAGAATGGCGACAAATCTGAAGACTCACATGATAGTGATGATGCCTCAGTTAAAGGGAATGGTGATGATTCCACAGCTGGGAAAAATGAGAGTAGTGAACAGAGTTTTGTAGAGGAAGAAAGTGAGTCAGACAAATCTCCGTTGATTGATTTCTGTTTACAAGTATGCAAAGAAGAAAAAAGAGCACTACTCCAGGAAAAACTAAATGAACTCGGAGCTGAAACATTGTCCGACCTGAAACATGTGGACATGAAAGAAGAATTCAAAGGAATCTTGAAACCTGTTCAAATCAGCAAGCTCATTGAAAAATACAAAGAAAGTAAGTTAGGTTTTATTAAGGTGCCCCTACTGACAACATCACCCATCATCGATTAATTTTCACTTTGATTCTTAGTATTTTTAGATGATCGGTGGGGAGTTGGTTGTAGTAGCACCTTTATTGTATCCGTGGCATGACTGAGTTTCAATCTCATGGAGTCTTATTTTCCAGTTGGCGCTTCTGCTCCCAAGACAATTGAACAAGGTCTTGAGCTATTTGATTTTGAGAAGATTTTGACCAAGCACCAAAGGGACCTGTTGAAAGGTGATCAAAGACTTCTTCATCATGAAGTTATTGATATCACTAAAGAAATTGGTGATCACATGTATCTTAACCTTGGGTAATCCTCTCCTTCTTAATTATTTCATTTTCTTGCTTATGATTACGACTGCCTCCAATAATTTGATCTAATCTTCATTTGCAGCAAACCTCGTCTCTCTCTGTGCAAGAGGCTGGGCCAGTTGCTTTTGACGAAGTATCGGAAAGCCTTGGAAGGATCTAAATTGTCCAAAGGTTTAACTGCTATTAGCCTCAGTAATCAAATTAGAAACAGAGTACGCTACTGTCAGAGAAAAGAGAGAAAGCGGAAAGCCACTAAAAATAGGGCCTCTGCACCTTTGCAGCTCAATGAGTTTTCGAAGCGGCAATGCCATGGAATTCAGGAGGATAGAGACTTGCCTGTCAATTTTCCTTCAGGGGAAACTGCTGAAGACCAGGAAGTTAAACGGCTTCAGCTGTCAAGCATGAGTAAGACAGGTGAAGTAAATTGGAAAACTGTAAAGCAGCTTATGGCAGAGACCTATGTGGCTCAAAGACTCACCATAAATACTTTAAATAGAATGGATCTCATTCTCAAAGAATGGCCATACATAGGAAAGGTAAGAGCACTCTGTCTTTATTTTCTTTTCTTTCATGATTAGAGCTTTGAAGTTTTTTGTTTTTACCACCTTTTTTGTTCTGTTTTTTGTGCAGTTCAATATTTTAAAAGCCCACTTCTATCACCTGATGGATCTGGATGTCAGTCTGGAGGCATCGTGGAATGACTTATTTCCTAAAATAGTGAAGTTCTTGACAGCTGAAGCTAACAGAAAGTTCTCTCCAATGAATATGCAAGGACCTACTGCAGAAAGCTGCAAAACTATAAGAGGTGTTCTGAAGAAATTTGAGAAGTGTGAAGAAAAGACTTGCGAATTAGAATTTGTGGTAGTAATTCTTGGGTTGATTGCCAAGTGGAACATGAGTACATCCAATCTTCTAGTCCATTTTCCTGTAAGTCTTTTTTTAATTTGTTTAAAAGCATGTTTTTATTATTATCACTTTGGTGTATTAAAACAATTTTAATCTTTCACAGGACACTGCCAGCTATGATGAAGTTCAAGCATCAAGGTCTCTTCCAAAAGATGGAAAACCAATTGTGGCTGTTTTAGGTATACTGTATTTTATTTCAAATATTCTCTTGCCATTGAGGCAGGGACAATGTTGTTACATTTATTGTTGTTTTTCTACAGGTGATGATCTTTTTCAAAGTCCGGAGTGCTTTGTGCTGGTCGACAATAGGATCATATCTCCAATTACTGTTGGACCAATAAAGGCCATTACGGCTGCTTTTATGTCCTATTATGTCTTTAAAATTACGTATCCAAGAAATCTTCAACCTTTATTGAACTTCTTTGAAAGGTGAGCCCCTTATGATCTGCCAGATTTAAATCTATCTATGTAATTGTGGGATTTGATTCAACTCATCATGTTGGTTTTTATTTGCAGGGACCTTTTTCACATTGAGACTTCGGAAAGCAGTTCCAGGACTGAACGAAAGAAGAAACCAGATGGTTCCTGGGAGGGTACCCCGAAGCCTTTGTCCTCTAAGTATATCAGATTAATGAAACAGATTGATGAGTTTTTAGACATGTGGTGAATCTGTCTTCATCTATGTGAATTGATATTTTTTATTTAGTTTTGGTATGTTTAACTTACTTTAGAGTCAGGCTCATGTTTCGATTTTCTGATGAATATTTAGGGTAATACTGTTGTGCTCACAAAGTTTCATGAATTATCATACGCATTGTATTTTATGATTTCCTTCCTCAACGATGTTGAACTGCATTGTGGTATTTGCTAGTTATTGACCAACGTTAAATGAGTGTAAATTCGTTCATTTTGTTATACACGAACATTTTATTGTCATAAGTTCTTTTTAAAAGCCTAAATTTTGAATGGCCCTAATACATCGCAACTTTGATGTGTTATTTTTGATAGTATGCTAAGATTTATTTTGCTAGAGTACAACATTTGCTCATGATTTTAGATACATTTTGAAATGCAGCTGCAAAGAATTTTTTCATTTGTGTTACTTTTTATTTCGTACTCCATTTATATCTTGTTGTGACATGATATTTTTGCCAGTGTGGATTGATGCATTGAACTACAAGTACAAGGTGAGTCACGGACCCCATGAGAAAATGTTACCATGCAACCCGCTTGGAGCCTAGCCCCAACTGGGGCTGGGCAAGACGGGACTTGACGGGTGGCCACCCTAGGCCTCCCGTCCGCCCGCCGACTGCCGCATAGGCAACCCCGGATGCAGGGCTCCAAGCGGGTTGCATAGTAACCATTTCTCACGGGGTCCGTGACCCACATGGTACAGTACACGTATCAATTTACCTCAACGAGAGGGCACGCATCCAAAGAACACCAGGAAGAACAATTTTACCCCTGTGGATTGGGACCAGCACAAACACATACATGGCAGTGAATTTCATGCAATGGATGGGCACATTGGGAAGGGACATCCACGGGGGGTAAACTTACCCCTTTGGATAGGCTCTTCATATAGCAATATACATAGGGGGCAAATTTACCCCTTTGGATAGGCTCTTCATAAAGCAACATCCATGGGGGGTAAATTTACCCCCTTGGATAGGCTCTTCATAAAGCAACATCCATGGGGGGTAAATTTGCCCCTTTAGATGAGCTCTTCATAAAGCGACATCCATGGGGGGTAAATTTACCCCTTTAGATGAGCTATTTATAAAGCGACATCCATGGGGGGTAAATTGACACCAACGTGATCAGGGTATTTTTCTCCAGTCATGTAGGGTTACTTTTACCCTCTAATGAGATGCGGGAATTCGCCAATCCATGGACTCAGGACAAGCGTTGCGCGGTCCAGATTGGTAAATTTACCCTCGAAATTTTTTACAGTGAGCCTCATTGATTTGACAATGCCAGAATCTCCCAAAAAATTCTTAAAGCAAAGAAAATAAACATGCAAAGAGCAACTTGACTTTCCAACACTTATGTCCCAGAAGAATCATGAGGGTCAGGGACATTAGATCAAATGCAAGGTAGGATGTGGAAGAGGAAATGCCTTCTTAGACTTTTCATTACTCAAACGACTCCACATATTTGACTACACTATAAAATGGCAGCAACAATCAGAAAATCGACTTACTGTCCAAAAGGGGAGGTTAACAGAGCTTTCTAAGGCACAAGAGAAACCTTTCAGGAAAGCCGCTAGATGTGACGCAAGGGGGTATTCACTCAGGTATTAGTCGGTCGAAGGGTGTGTAATAGCCCTGTAATAGTTCCTGTAATAGGTAATATCTGTGTAATTGTTGTAATATGGTGTATTATCTGTAATGGCCCCGTAATAGGTGTAATAGGAGTGTAATTGATGCGTAATAGGTGGTATTAGTAACACATAAATCGTTTAAAATGTCAGAAAATGGCGTTGTTGTGACGGTAATTGTTATGAAATAGCTGTAATTTTTATGTATTAGCTGTAATTGTTGTGTAATAGCCGTAATTGGTGTGTAATACTGTGTAATTTATGTAATGACTGTATTTGATGTAATAGTCAGTAATTGCTCTCATAGCACTCTAATAGGTCTGTAATGGTCGATTATATTCGATGTAATCGTCTGTAATTGCTGTAATAGTATTGTAATAGGTCTGTAATAGCCGTAATAGTGAGGTAATACCCGTAATTGACAGATTAGCTGTAGTAGGATGTAATTCATGTAATACTTTTCAAAAGGTATTAGTATGTCGACCACTTTTAGGAGTGAATACCCCCTTGATGTGACGTCACATGACCCGGGCGACCAATAAGAGCGAAGCGAATTTGGCGGGAGAGCGCGCTTCGTCGTTTCCAAGTCATAACTGTCATTTTTGTGGTGAGAGTCTTGTTGTTCATTCTCTGACAAACTTGCCATTTTCCTGGCGTTCGTCAGCTAATCCTAGAACAGTGTAAGAAATCTTCCTCTCGATTTGTAATGCAATCTATTAGTTGTTTTAATTTGAATTATTCTTGATTTTCATTCTTGTTTTCAGCCATTGAGCTTATAATGGTGTCTACAAGGAAGTGTTGTGTTCGTGACTGTCAGAACTCACACTTTTGTTTCACCATGTTTTCTCTCCCAAAATTTTCTCCAAAATCGAATGCGTCTGCCAACTTGATTGCACAAAAAGATTTTAGAAGGTGAGTAAGGTTAAATCTTTTGTTTATTAGTTATTCAAAGTAAACAATTTTTAGGTGGCCCCCTTCCCTTTCAGGTGTTTATATTGGATTCAGAAAACTGGAAATGCACAACTTCTAAAGGAACACCCCACAAATTTGTATCAGAGGTACTTTGTGTGTTCTTATCACTTCAGTGCCGAGCAGTTTGCAGGGATATCAGGACGAAAGCTGAAGCCTTATGGCTACCCAAGCAAAGCATATTTACCCATCATGGTATTGGGAATGATGACATGATCAAATATATTTTAAGACTTCACCACTCTTCAGTCATGGTATATGGGAATGGAAGTTAATATTTTTTCTTTATTCAGTATTTTCCCCGACTCATTCTTCTTTGTTTTTCAGGCTCTCTATGATTTTCCTGATTATCATATTGTGTCTAGCATAGAACGTAAAATAGCCACTTGGTGCCCTTTACATCAATCTTATCAGTTCTCACCTAAATACAACATGACGATGGGAAAATTTGTCTGCTGTTCGTGGAGCTTAAAAAATAAGTAATGCACGTGAGAAATTGAGATTCAGTGGCGAATCCATAGGCAGGCTTTAAGGGGCGGGGGGCCATAGTATGACTTTTTACCTACCTTCCAGGCGGCTATCCAGGTGTCATGGGGGGTGGGGGAGCAAAAACCTCATTGCTCCCACCCTCTCCCCTGTATCCCTGCCTGCTTAGATTGCGTACTGAATTCATGCATAAGTATGAAGAATCTTATTGTTGATGGTAGATTGAGGAGTGCTCATCATTGTTCTTCTTTTAGATGTGGGCCTGAATTAATTTTTTCTTCTTTTGGATTGAGCATTAATAACCTTAAGTCTTCAAAACTATGATACATTAGGATCCTTGTGCTATGTCAAGGGGAGGTCCAGGAAAAACTCTTCCTTTTTTTCCAAAATGGATACCACTGGGAAAATTTTGCAGCTCATAATGTTCATCACATTAACATTGCCAACCTTTTTTACCTGGAATGTCTTTGGAACTTCCTGCTTCTACTAAATTTCTTCTTCATATGACTCTCTTATTAAATATGGTTCTTTGTAAGATTTTTGTTTTTCTGTTGTGTTTTCTTTTTTGGAAATGTATAACATGTTCAAAAGAACACAATCATTTGAAGCCCTTTGTACAGTGTCAGAGATAATTGATCCATGAAGTAAAAGAAGGGGAATTCAATTTTCATCATTTTTCAGGAGAAACAAAAAACTGTTTGCAGGGTAAACTTTATCCAATCTAATGTATGATTCAATTGGATTTTTGCCAAGAAAGCCTAAGAAATAACTATGAAAATTTTCAAAAGTGTAGCATCACTCTGTAGTTGCTTTCTGTGATTTAAATCTTTACCTTGGAATGGACTACGGAACCATGTTTACTTAGTTCTCCCAAACAAGGTGGAATTAGGAGACAATTCAAGTGGAGCTGAGGTCTGCGTAGAGTATACTTTTTTGGTAGATTTTTGGAGCTACCTCTTTCTTTTAACTAGTGATGTGGAGTCTATTTCCATTAGTTTCATAAAGACACAAGTCGAGTTATCTCCTGTTGCTATTTTGTGCAACGGAGTCATGTGGACTTTGGTTGAGATACCTCCATTTTCCGATGAAATTTAGACTGTAAAAGGGGCCAAGTTGCGTTATATCCATTTTTCATGTGGATTTTCTCCTTAACTATTAGGAACTGGGTAAAACAATTTGGTGTAAAGATGCAAAGCATCCTAAGGCACAATAATAAGATAAAAACTCAATTCGGAGATAAGTGGGATTATCCCCATCTTCCGCTTCCTGGACCGATTTGGAACTGTTTTAACAGTCGTTGGATGGAGGCCCCTGAATGAGTCTTGAAAGTTACTTGAAAATGTTGTGGGATTTAAAAACTTACGCACCAGCTTGATGCATGTTGCTTTTTTTGTGATGTGTGATTTGTGTGATTTGTGTAACGCGAAGGCGTTCGAAAAATACCCGGATTATGTTTGGACTGTGTCAGCCTCTTTTCTCCCATTCTTTCACAGCAGGTCGCAGCAGGTCTACGCTGTAGACTAGCTGTTATTGCCGCGCATGATCAACAGTGTTCGCTGGATCGTGACATCATAGGCTTGATCCTGGGGCAGGGACCGGCTGAGTCCACGCGGTCGTGGATACGTATACGGACCGCTCAGCTGCAATTCGTTGTCCAAACATAATCCGGGTATTTTTCGAACGCCTTCGCGTTACTTTGATCTCAAAATATTTAGCAGCCGTATAAAAGCCGTACATTTCTACCCGTGAAGTTTCTCCCACCACAGCGCACCGCCTGCACTTCGCCGGGTAGTGCTAGTGGCAAAACCATACGTCGCACGTGACTACGAGTGAACATTTGCTCTAATTTTCACTAAAATAAAATCCATTTTTCAACTTTAAACGGCCTTGGAGCCTAAACCAAAAATCGTAGACTGTTTCCGTGACCGCCATTTCAAAGAGCAACCTTTTTTCTATCAAAATACATGGGTTTGGATTTCTTGTGACGCAAGGCAAAAGTTTGGTAGGCCTCTAAAACCCTAAAAGCGGAGAAAAATACACTTTTTTGAGCGTAAAATGGACCCAGTTCCGTTATCATTCGCTCAAAATGCATCCCGTAGGGTTCTTTTGGTCGGCCTGGATCCCGGGAAAAAAAGTCTCCGGGGGCAACAAGCTAGGACCAACACCGGATGCGCAGGGCTTTAAATACTCCAAAGTTGTATTGTTTTAAAAATTACGTCAAATTCACAACTTTCAGCCATTGTAGCGACCCCTAAATATTTTTCGATCGGTCTCAAATTTGGTTTGCGGTGGTTTTAGGTAAGAATGAACCCTTTTCCGGGTGTGCCGGTATGGAATACAAAAAAACATGCATTTCAATACCCCTTACTGTACAAGTCCGTAAGTCACACGTC